GAAAATGTTTTTCTGAATTTCCAAACAGAAGTCAGGATTTGAGACAGACTTGGGAGTCACCTGTCTACTATAGATTGTTCTTAAATCTTGGATGACATCATCCAGGAAACAGTATAGACTAAGAAAATAAGTCATAAATCAAATATTTGGGTGGCAAAGTTACATTAAAGGAGTAGGCATTAAAGGAGTTGCTGTCAAAAAAAATCAGAGGGGCCAGGTGCAGTGGCTCATGCCTATAATCCTAGCACCTTGGGAGGCCTAGGTGGGAGGATCGTTTGAGGCCAGGAGTTCAAAACCAGCCTGGGCAATAGCAAGACCCCATCTCTGCAAAAAATTTAAGAATTAGCCGGGCGTGGTGGCACGTGCCTATAGTTCCAGTTATTCGGGAGGCTGAGGCAGAAGGATCACTTGAGCCCCGGAATTTGAGGTTGCTGTGAGCTATGATGACGCCACTACATTCTAACCCAGGCAACAGAGTTGAGACCCTCTCTCAGGAGGGGGAAAAAAAAAAAAAAAGAAGAAGAGAACCTTAAAGAAGGAGTTGGGAGGTGAGGCAGGAAATGGTCTCAAGAAAGGAAGGGCGGCCAACAGGGGCAGTGAGGTGGAGGAGTCAGAAGAGGCTGCTAATGTCACTGTGCAGGTCTGGAATCCCATTATCTGAAAGCCTTGGGCCGGAGGCTTCAGAATTCAGCAATTATCAGATTTTAGAAAATTAAGAGTACTTATATCATTGATTACAAACATTAATATGTCTACAGTGAAAATTATGAATAGTCTTACAAGTCAGAATAAATAAAAGCAGATCAGTACTAGTTATGTTTTGCTGTTGAATAAGCTAAGGAAAAACTCAATTTGGGGAGTTTTTTGTAATTCAGAACTTGAGATAAGGCATCGTTGCAGGAGATCAGTGAAGCAGAAGCCAGACCACCGTGGGGGAAGGAGACACAACTGAAGGACCAGGAAGCAGAGGCAGACAAAAACTTTTTCATTAAAGAAATGAGAGCAAGAGAGGGGGTGGTTTGAAGGAGAAGCCATGTCCAGGGAATGATTACCTTTTTCAAAAAGTTGGAGCATTTGAGTTGTTTTACAGGTGGATGGGAAGGAACTCGTGGAGAAATGGAAATATGGACTAATGGATAAAAATATAAGATAAAAAATAATGGAAAGTAGAAGGCGTCAGAGGAAGTGGAAGGTAGGGTGGCCCAAGAGCACAGGGAAAGCCTGGAAAGTGGCCTCCAAAAGGAAGGGAGACCGGGGCTTCCTCTTAGACTGGACCTAAGGGTACAAAGTTAAAATAATGGAATCGAGGATCTTGAAGTGAAAAGGCTTCGTCCAGTCTACATGTTACTTTTCTAAGAGAATCAAATTCTTTATAGCCTATTGCCAGGGTAAACCTTATCATAGACTTCATATTGCACCAACTTCAACAGAGAGTAACATGTTAATTATCTTCTAACTCTATCAAAACATTCATGCATGTTCATTTACATTTGTCTGTGTTAGACATCGTCCACTCGTAATAGTCTTGTGTTAGTTCAATTTAATATACAGAGGAATGCCACATAGAGGAAAAAAAGAGAAAAAGAAAAAGCAACTTGAATTTCTTGGAGCTGTAGTGGACCAAGTAGGAGAATGATTCATATTCCTTTCCTGTAAATATTTCTATTTCTTTCCTTTCCACTGATTTCACCTGCTTTAGGAAGTCTGCTATGGCAGTTTATTAAATCATTGCTTCATGGTTAAAAGAAGAAAAGTGCCAATTACACAGCTGGAATCCACATTACCCTAGCCTAAATTCCTCAGTAAACTAGAGCAGCAGAAAGTGATGCATTTACAGTATGGTGTGTTTATTAGTAGCGTATCTCTTCTCAGCTTCTCCTTTCTTTAATCCCAGCTTCTTTTTGTGTAGTCTAGTACTATAACTACTTAGGGTATTTATAAACTACAGGCTGCTTTGAATGGTCATGACCTCTGCAGAGCCAAATTAAAGTTCCTTCTTCAACCTCCAGATAAACATTTAGTTTGATTTACAACTGGAAATTTCTCATATTTCACCATTTGAATCCCCCCCAAAAAAACTGGTACGGCAAGGTGAAATGTTCACTGTTGTAGTGGGCTTTCTCTAACTTTGTCAACCACTGCTCTTTTTGAAGTTTCCTTTTTTCTTAAAAAAAAAAATTCCAGATTTTCAAATTCCCCTGGATGTCACCTTTTAGCTCATAGAAGTTCTAATTGAGTCAAGTTTCTGTTTATTGTCAGTTTCTATAACTATAATTTATCTGGTACTTAATGGCTTAAACTAAGATCGTATATGGCATGCAAGTTAAATATGATCCCCCAAAATAATAAAAAGTTCATTTTATATAACCTATTTCTACACTAATGGTAAAGTGGTGCTTGGCACACCTCATGATACAGAAGTTTTCTTCACCTTTCTTTGGAGAAGAGTTCTAGCCTGAATCCTAATTTTTTTTCCCAGCATCATATAAGATGCAAGAAAATTACTCTGCCTACCAAAAGACACTGGTATTTATGAAATCTTTAGTGTGGTAGGAGAACTTTCCAGTGAGGGAATAAGCCTGAAGAGGACCTCCTTTTGGGGAAACTGAGTCAAAGAAGTACTTTATACTGCTCTGGGAATGAGATTTTGTCATAGAAATCTGGCAGTAACAATGGCCAAATCACACTGATAATTCCCCAAATGAGAAATAAGGTACCAAGTTTCCAATCTACTGTTTTGTTTTGCTAAAATAGAACACAAGCATTAAAAATATATTGGATATCAGGGACTGGATATGAGTAGGCCTATTCTTTAGCTGACATTTTTGTCTTTTGTTTTCATATTCTCATATGTCAAGCATGCTTGACACCTAATATACTAAAAGCCACATCACAAGGAAGACAAAAATAGCAACAGCTAGTATTTAACTAGCATTTATCAAGTACTCGCATAAACTTTACAGGTGGTATCTTCTAATGACTAGCTGATTCTTTTTGCTTTATTTCCTCCCCATAGCAACTGTCAGTGCCATTTAGAATGAAACTTTGTCCTCCTTTTAAATATTCAATATTTTTGCCTTTCTTGTTTCCTTCAATTTGTAGCCATTTTTGCATTTTATCTAAGATAATGTATTTTCTATTGCTATTAGTAGACTTATAGCATGAATATCAAGTGGCAGCTAACCACTTCAGGAAAAAACTGACTTTCTATTTTGAGGGAGACCTACCTTCTTATGTTTAATTATATTATCTATTTCCTCATTTTTTTTTCCCTCAAGAAAGACTTCAAAATGAACTGCGACAGACTTTGTTTCTGTTTTACTTCCACCAGAATCTTCCCGACACAGTGACATTTTTCCATTTTGAAAAGAGTGGTCATCTTCTCAGCTTTGGTCTTTATTGTGAAAATACTTTTGCTTCATTCATTCTTTCTGAGATTTTATATCTATAGGTTAAGTTCACCCCAAGTATGACATTTCAAGTCCACAGTGTTTTATAATCTTTTTCTTTCAGTTCCAAAAGATGTGCTCCTTCCCCATAAACCAGACCCCGAGTTCTCTCAGAGCGAACCTGGTAAATGAATTGTTTAATTTTCCCAGTTAAGAAGTATATTTTTCAAAAAATATTCTTGATATAAATATATTTTAATGGTAGTGATATGGAAGAAATATGGGGGAAGATATGGATATAAAATGTAAATTTCTTTGGGGAAAGTTTAATCATATATCTGGTTGAAAATTTTTTGCTCTGGTTAAATGAAGGAACGGTATATAATTAGTTTATTTTCCCTGGAAGTGTTTTCCTTGAATAGGAGATCATGATAAAATTATAAAACACAATTATTAACTCAGCCAACTCTTATATCATTTCAAAATGTAAATGCGACTACATTATAACTGTGAGTGTACTTTTAAGTAAAAAATATGGTGCATACTCAAAGTTACAATGAATGAAAACTTTAAAGTTTTAGTTAAACTAAGTTCCCTGAGTGGCATCTAATAGATTTTCTCATATTTATTATAGTTCTTAGAAAATGTTTAAATGATTAAATTGACGCATCTAGAAAGTACAGAAACTATTTGACTTTACCAGGTAGTAATTCTCATGAATATGTTTCTTTGGTTTGTTTTTGGCATAGTTCTGCAACCTGTTACCTTTAGAATTGAGCCGCCAAAGACGACAGTAGGTAATGATTTTCTCATACTGACCAACTCTGTTTTTCTTCACTGCCATCCAGATTGCAGATCTTTCTCAAATGATCCTGTGAAAATATCATCTCTTCTCAATCCATTTCATCATTTCATTCTCATTGTTATTCTTTCCAAAATAGAAAAGCTGTGGTTTCAATGTTGTAAAGGCTTTGCTCTGAAGACCAACTTCAGGCAGCTCATCACTGAGTCCACGCTCATCTACCTCACCTACCTCCATGTTCACAATGAGTCCACCTCACTGGTGCCATCTATTAATAGTTAATAACTATTTCTGCTGGTTTAGTGGTTCTCGGCTGTACTGTTACAACATACCAGCATGTGACAAGTTTGCAAACTGCTGCAAGTAATTACTATTAATATTGGTCAAAATACTGAAAATTGCCAGTGACGTATTTATAAAATTTAACTTGAGCAGACTCAAGAAGATTATCCCAACAATGACAATATTCTCACTCATTTTGTAATCCTATACGCTCTCTTGGGTGGGAGAGAGAGGGGGACAGAGCTCCAACTAACTGTCCAGGACTGGTTCTAACCCATACCTCATCTTAACCAGGCATTCTCATGGATTGGGTCAAGCCTAGAATATCATTTATTATGTGTCCTGGCGGAAAAACAGTTGAGAACCATTATTCTAATATTCCATAGTCACTTTCCAGAAACTTCTGTGCAACACTTAACTTTCTTCTTTCCTTTTTCTATTTCAAATGAAGGAATCTCATGTAATACCAATCTGGTCTGGTGCTGGCTTTAAATCTAAAAATTTACATCCTTGATACTTTTCTTTTGCAGCTCCTTTAGAGACACGAGACATCCCTTTTATACCTATGATTTCCCCAAGTCCTAGTCAAGAGGAACTACCAACTACTCCGGGTAAATTTTGTTTTGATATCTCAGTTCATTGATGACCTACCTTTTAGGAATTTCCCTTATAGTAGCCATAAGTACATTATGTTGGTGGGTTGTTTCCAAATAATAGAAGGTTACTTTTTACCATTATAAAAATTTCTGCTTCACTTGATACTTTTCCATTAATTGTATATTTGTCCTTTTAATATTATACTGATTTTCAATATAAAATGAGAATGTTTTAACACATCTTGACAAAATTTAAAGTATTCTAAAAAGAAAACATTCTGAAATCAATGCTGTTCATTTTTGTTGCTTTTTCTGTATTTGAAATTGCATTTGAGAAGAAAAATGAGTCGTCTAGTGTTTATTGAGCTTTTTCTGGGTGCTACGTGCAATGCTAAGTGATGTGAGTTCAAAAAACACTATTTTAAAGGTGAGTCTTTACCTTAGGGAGCTCACCCTCTAATGTGAACATGGAATTTAGTAGCAATAGTGCTGCTTCTGTGCCACCCAGCCAATGCACTATGAGTATTTTTAATTTAAGCCACATAACTCTGTGAGGTAGGTTCTATTACAGTTTAGAAAATCGAGGCATAGAGAGCTTTAAAAATTTGACTGAGGTTTAACAGATAGCGTTAGAGCCAGGACTGGAATCCACACACCCAGTTACCAGAGCTCCTAGGATTAACCCCAGTGTTATGCTACATTACCAAGAATGTGACAGATAAATGAGCAACACATTGAACAAGCAAACTACCTGGGGGCATCAGGGAAGGCTTCTCAGAGTATGTGATGTTTATACTGGGTCTTCATGTTAGAATGAGAGTTGACCAGTCAAAGATGCAAATGGTTCTTTCAAGTTAAAGACAGACGGGAGAGAGGCGCAGGGCAAGATGGCTAGACTAACCTGCTGAGTGTGAGTGGGTGGGCTCCCTGGAGAAACAAGGATGGACAGGTCAGGAGAGTTGGGTGGGATGAGCTGGACAGGCTTTTAAGGAGTTCGGCACAAATGTATTCACTGTATGGGAAAATCCAGTTTACTTGCCTCTTGGCTGAAAATGAACCAGAAAGCAAGAGTTCCAGGCTGGTGTGCGTTGGCCCCTCTGTCCTGTCCACGCTGCATCCCATATAGCTGGGTTTAAATCAGTGGCCTTATTTTCCTCCCTTTATTCCTTTCCAAATAAATCCATCCTTTGTGAGTGCCTGCTGCAATGAAGTTACTGATTACATTTTAAAATGAAATCCTTTGTGAAGAAAAAAATTAGAATTGAATAAGCAAATATACCCTGGTTACAAAATACTCATCTACTCTAACCTCGGTCTGCAGAGTCAGTGTCACCCATGATGGCAAAGTAAAAGCATTTTTTAAAAATCGCTACTAAATATGCTCATTATTTAACTTCCACTCCCTATTTATTTACTGTGTCTTGGTTTATTGGAGCAAGAACCATTATCTGCCAGTTATGACAAATACCTTTCTTGTGAGAAGAATCAGGAGAATAAAGCAGAGGAGAGAAAGAGATGTCACTATACCGTTTACACCAAGTGTTTCCTTGGATCCAGTGTGTGGCACAATGAACCGTAAAATTCACTATGTTTGTACAATGTAATATGGGGGCGAAAATGTTACCATAAGTAATTTTTTTATTTTGTCAGGAGGAACGTGGCCACATGTCAATGAATATACACTCTGATTTTCACATGAGGAAAATAGAAGAGCATTTCTTCTTATGTGGTGTAAATACACATTTTTTCATAGGATATATTTACTTTCCAGCTCACCTAAATGATTTGTGGAATTTAGGGGTTAGGGAGGAGACGTGGCAGAGATAAATACATCAAGACAGGGGACTTCCATACATGAGCCACATCCAAGAATAGCCACAACCAGTCATGAAATGATGATCCTGAGCTAAAAGCTCTCAGAAATTCTTATAATAATCATTAAAATAATAGCACAAGGCAGCAAATATAACATGAGAGTTATTAAAATGTACGACTAAGTTTGAGTTGTTATGATGACTAGGCATGTTTTTAAATGCAATTTATCCTTTTATCATCGCCTGGGGCAGAAAAGAGCATGGGATTTTTTTGGTCAGGCTTATAATGATAATTATTTAAGACAAGCTATTTTATTGTGTTTTTCTTCAGAAGAAACAGACCAATCCACCCAAGAACCCTTCGCAACTAAGATTCCACGAACAACTGAATTGGCAAAGACGACTCAGGGTAATAGTATTTACCCACCTCTAGATAGTAACTTTTCCTTATTTACTTTTAATCAGGAAAAAAAAAATTCAGAATGTCATTTCTTATCACAGTGAATTGATTTTTCTCATTTCTTAGGTGAAGGACATCAGCTAAATCTGAATATTTGTGTGAATATAAGTTGAATGTACGGAAGACCAGTTCTTTAGTCAGAGATTTGCCTTTGAATGTATTATTGATGGCTTGACCCCCGATAACTAAGAATGAAAGCTCTCATTCCCCCTCCCCATGTTTGACCTTAGTTTGCCTCATTTTCCATATTTGATAAATAGGAGCCTTTATAATCTTCCTCTTTCCCCTTTTTTTTTTCCTTTCTCCCATGTTCCCCACGTGATGAAACATTGATATTGTGGGCTGAGAAATCCATTAACAAGAAAAAATCATTTTTGAAATTATGATAATATTTAAACATCAAGGGAAGTGTTCTCTGTGATTTCTTTTATTCTTCCCTGTGATTTCCTACTTTTATTTCTTTTCTGTGATTTCCTATTTTGGGGGAGGTGAACTCACCTACACAAAGCTCTATCTCATCTTCATATTCTCTCAGAAGTCCTTTCCTTTTTATGTTTGTCTATCCTGCTAGGGTTATAACCACTGTGGATTTCCGATCCTTCAGTGGGTTTTTGTAATGACCCCTTTTGCCCATCTCTACCTCGATTAGATGGTCGGACTCCAAAAATAAGACAAAAAAACCAAGCAAGCTTTTTTTTAAGGAGCTAGAAGACAAATAAGTGTATGCTACCCATTATCAGTACTAATTTGAGAGGAGAAGTTTGAAATAATAAGAGGAAATGATAATGAAATCAAATTTTAAGGTATCTATTTTGTCAATGGAGTAATATTGGTTCTAAAGAAACATGACTACGAAAGATTCTCTATGGTATAGGACAGTTCCTTTAAATCTTCTGAATCTTTTTTATTTGTTTGATTTAACTTTTTATTATATTTTAAATTTTATTAAATTTTTGTTCACTTTTTATTTATTTATAAATATATGTGGAAGTCAGAGGCATGATGATGGCAGCCCTCCCCCAACCCCATTTGCAGCTTCAACAATTAACAGCAGGTGGTCTGTTGTGTTACATCCTGTCCCACCTTGATCTTTGTATGTTTATTATTTTGTGTTTTTGCAAATCTCTTTACTATCTGGTTTAATAGGAGATAGCTGGGCTCTCATCATCAAACGCAGTGTTTTTATAGCAAAATATGTGGATATTTACCATAAGCAGGATAAATAAAGACTCTCATCCATCTCAGGGTATGTTGCCAAATGAAAAAAAAATGATTTTGGCTTTTTAGAGTTTTATGGATTTCAGAATTGAGGTTAAAAGATCATAGGACTACTCTTTCCTTGTTTTGCTTTTTTTTTACCTTAATGGGAATGTCAATATTGTGTCACCATTACTAGTGTATGTGGAATTTTTATTAAATTCCTTCTGAAATATTTTTTACATATAAATTTCACAGTTAATTGTGTATATGTGCAAGATCTTTTATCATTATATGAATTGTCTTAACATATTTGTATGATACATTTTAATTTTTTTCTTATATTCTTAGCCCTTTTTTTGTTTTTATGTTTAAAACTGAAACCCTAGAGCCATGTGTTAGTTGATGATGAGCTGTATGAGTAACTCACAACCTAAACTTAAATTATATTTCATCTTTTTACAAAAAGTTCTTTTCAGATTAAGTAAAGGCCATGGAAAAACTAAAACAAAAATTCTGATTCTGGGGCTCTGAAACAATGAATGATTATTTCTGCGCTCTCCTCTGAGTCTCTTTCCCATCCAAAGTTTTAAAATTCATGTATGTCTAGAATGAGAGAAGAACCATGAACCCTGTATTTTTTTTTGTTATTATTAAGCAAAAGCAATCTAACATGCAAAGGGATTTACATGAAAAGCTAAAATAGGTTAAATTGACAGGGACTCCTACCACTGTCAAATAAAATTGAAGAACAATATTTGCAAATCATCATCAGGCATTTTAGGGTCTGTGAGAATTAATATTTATAGCAACCTCTGTTCATTCTGCTTATTACACTTCAGAAGGCCCAGGCTAACCCTATAGAGAATTTCAGTACCTATCTGCTGTTGGCCTGCAGCATAGCAAAATCCTGCTCATCACAATTTTTACATTGGAAATTTATAAATGAGCTACATTATAACCTATTTCACAGGCATTTTTTTTTTTAACTTGATGGGCAAGGCATTGCTGATTTATGGTTACATAAACACCCACTCAAGATGTGAACAAAATCATCAAGATGGTGTAATCTACTTACACAGTTTGCAAGAAAATTTTTTCTAGTCTTGGCTAAAGAAGCATTACCAAGAAAGTTGATAGGAAGAGCCAGTGTCTGGTTAGGGGGGCAGGGGCAGAGGAGAGCAGGGGTAGGAAGAACAAATTCCAGGATGAATGCACAATTTAAAAACCTTAGGAAGCAAAAATTGTTCAGCAGGTTTTCACAAAATCGCCTGTGTATAGTGGTCGCCCACTCTTCCATTCATTCATTCAGCAAGTCTTCGTTAGGAGTTCTTCCCGTGCAGGCCCTGGATGGCAGGGCCAGAAAGCAACGAGGTGGTCCCAGGGCTTATCTGAGTTCTTCCTCTTTGCTTGCCCTTTCTTGATGGACAGGGCACCAGATGTCATTTGTTCTCGTTTCTACTGCATTGTGGATCACACTGAGTATTTATTCATTTCAGGCTTTACGAGCAAAGACAATTTGATAGAGATCACATGTTCCTACTCTTTTCTTCTTACCCACCTTAACATTGATTTCCCTTTTTACCTTTAATATTGCTTGTCTTCTCTGGCAAAATAATGTCCCAGAGTGACTCCTTACTGAGAGACGTGGATGGATAGGTGGATGGGTGGACAGGCAGACGGATGAATGGCTTATGTGTTTATAATGTAAAGCAACCATGTGGTAAAATGAATGCTCCTGCAAAACATGGACTGCATAATGATAATCCTTAACACACATTACAAATGACCTACCTCATTGAGACTATGTGCATCTTTAATTTTCAGTCATGAATATTTTCACCTGTTTTATTTTCCTTTAGCATGAAGTCTGTAATGCATAATTGAGAATTTCAGAACACTCTTTCTACTTCCAAGCAAATTGTACGAGTTGTTGGTACCGAGGGTGCTAGATCTCCATTCAGTGGACTTTGGAGTGTTGGTTATTAAATATGAAGTGTTTCCTTCTTTCAGCACCACACAGATTGTACACTACTCCCGTGAGGCCCAGAACACCAGAGAAACCACGCATCAGACCTGGTAAGTTGTTTCTCTTTCTCTGATGGCCTAAATAATCCGAAGGCTGGGAAAGATATGAAATGGATTGAAACAACCAAATATACCAAAGGGGGGAATATATTCTTAACTTGCAATAAAGGACACAAAAAATTCTGATCCTTGTGGATAAGTGGAGAGGTACTGATGCCACTTCCACTTGTCCATGGAAGTCACAAGACTTGACTGAGGTTTTTAAGGATGATCAGAATCGGAGGCCATTATGAAACTTTAGCAATATAAAAGTATTTTTAAAATAGTGTTTGTGTATAAATCACACACATCCCTTTAATTTTCCATGACACTTACAGAGATGGCATACAGTTAGCTATGACTTGATATCACTTACTTTCAAATGTTATTTTTCTCTTAAGAAAAGATGGTCCTTCTCAATATAAAAAGGCTCTCAGAAAATATTTTTATTGATTCCTTTAGAGGATAAAAAAATTGTCACAGATTCTATACAGCAAAAATAAAGTTATAATTATATATTGGGAAATAATTTTAATTTACTAAATTTTCCAAAGGTCCTAGAATCTCCCTCACTGGGGGTTGTTTAGGAAAAAATTAACTTGGAGGGGCTGATTTGACTCATGTGATTAAATCCCTCCTATACTAAAGCACAAGTTGGATCAAAGACTCTGGTATTTTCTGTCCTTTTTCTCTGTGATTTTAAGGAGTCTTCTTAAAGTTCTAAATGCTGAAACTCATTTACAAATGAATGTTGAGTGTATCTCCAGGCACGTGAAAGAACAAATGATTTTTTTTTAATATTCTTTGGTTTGTGGAGAGCCCATATATGTTGCTATAATCCTCTAACTTCTAAAGGTAATTAGGCACAGAAATCTTTTATAAGTAAATGTATCCCCGTGTGACTTTTGTGTCATAATAGCTGTTGAAAGCTTAATGTGTGGCTGGCTACAGTAAACACTTCTACAAAATAATGAAACAGTAACAATAACAGCTAACAGTGATTGTTTGCCATGTGAGGTACAGCTGAGGAAGCTAAGGCACTGAGAGCAATTAGAATGTGGATTCAAAGGCACATGCAATGTAACTCCAAGAGTTTACTCACTTAGGCACAATACACTTAGAGCTCCTCTTTAAAGAGTCTTCTAAATGGACTACAAAATAGGTAACCTCTTAAAGTTTTGGCGATGCTATGGCTTTCTACAGAGCAGGAGAGAAATTTAAGTGATTTCATCAAGTTCTGTATTTGACAATGGACTTGTGCAAGGACTATTATAATGAAACATCTGCACCTAGAGACTCCTATGAAAGGACTGCCAATTCATGAGTTATGAATTGACGTCTCGACAAATAAATATATTTCAAGTTTTGGTTTTTTGTTATTCATTAGACATATGTAGTCCTGATCTTTCTTCAGATCCCTTTCAGAATGTATCTAATGCTTATAAATGAAGCAAGATATTTCCCACTTATATAAATTCCCTTGTTTGTTATTTTTTCAAGTCAAGTATTAAAGCCCAGTGGTCACCTAAGAGTACAAATTCATCTCTCTATTCCCAAATTCAAGTTTATGATTTTTGTACCAGAATGTGGTTTCTATTTTCTGAACCATATTTTTTGGTAAGCCATCATTTTTTATTACGTAGTTAAATGACTTTCAGTTCTCTAGGAAGTTTTGTTTTCCTTGGCTACCAATGTTTAGTAAGAAAATTTCTGAATTATTTATTTCTCATTTTATTGTAGTTCTGAATAGGACAACTACAAGACCCACCAGACCCAAACCCAGTGGGATGCCCAGTGGGAATGGAGTGGGAACAGGTAATGATCATAAATGTATTCCTTTTTGATCTTGTCAAAACTACAAATCTTATTATTCAACTTTTATGATTTTGTTGAATTCACATTTCAATTTCCTTTTTACCAGTTTTGGAAGCTCTTAGTAAAACTATAATTGAAAAATATAACTCATTCCAAAATCAAAACTTCAAGTGTCTCTGAAAATATTAAAGAAAAAATTTTCACTTTTCTAAACCTAGTCCACTAAATTAATTATACTGTATACAGTTTTGCTTCCTAAAAAAATCCTGATTAAATATGAATTGTTGAATGAAAATAATAAAAATAGCTGTTTTTCCTACTTTCAAAATATTTTCCATACACAAGCTGGTCTTTGAACTGTAATTACTTGGGTTTTAAGTTTATAATTTTACAAGTACCATTATATATTTTTAAAGACCTGCATCTGTTAGCAATCTGGAATACGAAATTTAAACAAGAAGAAACAGATTTAACCACAGCAATTAACAATTGGTTACCCTGGTTATAGTCATATTAATGTTTTCAAAGCATCCAGCTTAAGCTGACAAAGCCTGAATCCAGTCAGATCTATGGGAGTAGGTATCATTGTAGAAAAACTAGAATACTGATCTGTGATCTGACAAAAGTTCAAACACTCAATTTACTCCATGGTTAAATGGTAGTTATTAGATGCCTTAACAAAGGATTGTATTATTCCCTTGAAATATTTTTAATAGTATAAATTTTGTGCTTATTTATGTTAAAAAGCATGAAAATTAAAATTTATTTAGCACATGTATATTTGGTCAACCTATGATGGTTCTCTAATGAGAAGGGGATATACATAATACCTAAAGATATTTAGTCTAGGTTTGTTTTACAGTGTGTTTTTTTGTACTGGTATCTGAAATTCTAGAAATTCTCTTCAAACCAAATAATGAGGCCAATGCTATAAATTCCTGACTCATGAAAAGCAAGGAAGCATTCCAGTATCTCAGATGGTCCTTTTATTCATCCCAACTGTGGGATTAGAAATAATTTCTCAGATTGACATAAACAATCTGGCTGTAAACAAAGCCACCTTCTCTCAGATCCTTTTGGGAGGAAGGTAGGGCAAATTGTTTAATATTCAAATAATTCTTGGAAGTTGTAAATAAGTAAAAATAGAAGAAAGCACTTAGAAGTCAACAAAGCAAATGAAAGAATAAGTACAGAAGCTACAAAGCCATTAACCTTCAGTATAATCAGACATTGATTCTCATTAGGAACATGCTGTCTTTCAGAGGGGAAACAAAGTGTTGTTATATTTTATCTTATCAACAATATAAACATTTTTCCAAAGCCACTAGTATCACAAATGGGTCTCTATTACCTCTGTGTACACATAGTCAACTTTGTAATAATAACTTATCCAACTTAGCTTTGGAAGAATAATATCTTGTATCAGGGCTTCTTCAATTTAATCAGCCAATTACTGGTAGAAATTGGGCTGGTGGACACAGGTAGACAAAACTGAACTCACTGTTTCCCCTTTCCTTACTCCATCTTCCTCCCCAGACAAACTTTGTTATACCTAGTCTGTATTCCATTGTCTATCTATTGGGTTCCCCTGTCAGGGAAGGACTTGCTGCCCACCTGCAGGGAGTGTGGTCACCAGACAGCATCCAGCTGTCATCTCCTTCAGGGTAAGCCTCAGCTGAAATAGCCTTGAATGGAGGTCTGGGTGGTACATCTTCATGTCTAATAATGCATAACAACCAAAAGGAATTTACCCCAAGAATGCAAGGTTGGCTTAACATTCAAACAAATTAATGCAATTCACCACATTAACAGAATAAAGGAGAAAAAACCACATGATCACCTGAGTAGATGGCAAAAACAACCATTAGAAAAAGTTTTAAATTCATTCATAATGAAAACTCTCAGCAAATTAGGAATAGAATGAAGTTTCCTCAATCTAATAAAAGGCATCTGTGAAAAGCCTACAACTAACATTCTACTTAACAGTGAAAGAATGAATTCTTTTCTCCAAACATTGAGAATACAGCAAGGATTCCTACTTTCAACACTTCTAATGAATATAATAGTGACCTTTTATCCAATGCACTAGTAAGGAAATGAAGTAAATGGCATAAAAATCAGAAATTACAGATAACATGATTATCTATGTAATCAGTTGCTTTCACAGTACAATGGCAGCGTTGAACAGTTGTGACAGAAACCATATGGCCCACAAAGTTAAAAATATTTTCTGTCTGGCCCTTTAGAGCAAAAGTTTGCCAACCCATGTGCTAGACAATCTCTCTCACTTTCTCCCTGAAGAAGGAAGCTGCGGAGTGTGTGGCTATTCTTTCACTCAAACAATGAACATTTATTGAAGGCCCGTTGTGTGCCAGGCAGAGTGTAATTCTGAAACCATGTCAGTACGTGTGCTTTGGAAGATATCGTTAAATACCTGAGCCGCGAACTCCTTCCTCTACACCCTAATGAGGAAACCACAGTTTACTACCCTCGTGTGTGTGTGCTTCACAGTGAGAACCCAGACTCCTTGGGCTGAAAAATGTGTTTTTCTGGGCTGTGACTAAATCGTCCCGTCTGCTGGCTCACCGCCCTTGGCTTTTTAGCCAGGTGCTAAGATTTGGGGACAAGGCTGAGGAAGCCAATCATCCATAAATATCACCCCTTTTCAGTCACAGGGAATGGAGTCGCTGATAGATTTAAAAATTGATTCCCAATTTACTGTGTGTGTTTGCAAAGTTTTTGTTACCATGGTTAAAAATACTCAAACTGTTACTTCATTTTGGACAACAAACTGCTAATGGGTGAACTGTATAAATCCAGAGATTTTTGGAGAACTCCCCTAGGGCAGTTGGAGGCTCACGCTGAGGCTCACATCTTGATGCTTACAGAGATGATTCTGCCCTTCAGAAGATGTGTCCATTAATCCTGCCTGAGGGAAAAAGAATTCAGGTCACAGCCAGGGCCAGACTGTTAGACTGGGTGCCAATTCCCGAGGATTCCTTCTCTGCAGTGTCGCTCTTCCTGGTTCCTCCTCTCTCTCCCCATTGCCTCTCTGCTACCTTTGGCCTTTATTTGCTCTCCTCTGACTCAAGGCAACAGATGCTCACTGGCCTCTCCAGTTCTGGCCCAGGCAACAAGCCCAAAATGTAGCTGGTCCCAGAGAGGCAAGACCAGAGCTAGAGCTCAGTCTCCTGTCCCTAGATCTTTCCACTGAGCCCCTGGCTACCTTTGGCAGGGCCCTTCCCAGTGTTTTCCTACACCACTGCCCTGTGTTCACTTCTAAAGGATGAAGAAAGTCTAGTTCAGCATCTGGTTATCGATTTGGGTACTTACATCTAAGGATCATAGCAGTATAATGTTCTGTTTCCATCTATGCAGGAAGTGACAGAAAATGGCTGGTTTCTTCCAGTTTCTCCCTTGATTAGAAAAGAGGTCAGGGGAATTTGTATCCTTGGTCTTATGCATAAAGTAACCCTGTAGAATTTCAGATTCTCTCCAGGGCTTCTAGTCTCTAATTCACCAGCCCCTTTAGGTACCTACCCTGTGGCTTGGTGGATCTGCATGTGTCCAGTTGGGGACCGATGTTAGCCTTGGACTATTTCCTGAGTCCTGCACTCTGGTGGCGTGGCTGGAGGACACATGCTTGCCAGCCATGGCCCTGTAGCCTTCACACAGTGATGGCAGCTCAGCCTACCCAAGAGACAGAGTAGAGGGCTCTAAGGCTCTAGTCACTTGATCATTGTGAGTAATGGAAGGAAGAAAACAATTAGAGGAAGATCGAAAATACTTTGTGCTATGCCGCTTAGTGCTTAAGAGATAGGCTTTGGAGCCAGGCATATCCCAACACGGAATCCCAGTGGCTGTGAGACCTTGGACAAGCTGCTAAATCTCCCCTTGCTTTGGGCTTCCTTATCTGTGGGACATGAATAGCATCTCCCACACAGAAGGGTTGTAAGGGTCAAATCAGATAATGAATATGTCAGTGCTTGCACAGTATTGGATCAAAATACTTTGTTTTTCAAGGGGTAGAAAGATTGGGAGAAAAGGCTGTGAAGAAGGATCTACCCAAGCCACACATAGCCTACTAGCCTTATAGACTATATACATTTTTTTTACCTTCAAGAAATAGCGGTAAATCAAACCTCACCAAGCCAAGTTACCCCAGTGACACAAATGGAAGTATTTTCCATTCGCTTTGCCATTCTCAGAGTATCCACTCAAATGAGCCATTTCCCTGGCCCCATTACCTCTGACAGTGGGACACAGGAAGAAGACTAATGAGCCATTTGTTTGTGCCACGCCTGTGGGATTAGCCATAAAATAGTCATTGTATACAGAGACACTTTTTTTTCTACCACAAATAAGCAAGCTTTAATTTGTGATTCCATATAACCATTCTCCGTGGTTTTATATCTTATCTCTTATTCAAGCAGCAGGGGGTATGGGATTGCAATATAGGGTTTATCTCCCAAATTTCATAATTTAATGTGAAAACATCATCTAATTTTTGGCAAGCAAAGCTTCTGTGGTATATTCAATCAAGGTATCTGCCCACCCATTAAATGAGATTGAGTATGTAATGTCCCTACACAGGCTCTGGACCATGGTGCACCCTCAAAACAAGGTGTTGTCATTATCTTTGTCATGTGGTTGTCATTGTTAATGTACTAACTAGTATAATAATTAAATGTTTCATTCTTATTTTTAATATGTAAATTGTAGTCAAATCCTCAAAGTAGTATGGATTCTTTTTTAGGACAAGCCATTATATCTAAAGCTATTTTTACTATTTACATTCTAAAAATGTCTGTTTCTATTATAATGAAGACTATCAGCCATATAAGGGAAGATTATTTTATAAAAGAATAATTTTTAAAAATAGGATGAAACCAAATTGGTTCCCTTTACCCTAGAATAACTACCCAAAATCGAAGCCTAGGTGTCTAGGTGAATGGCTGAGTAATAATCACTGGATTGTTTGAGGGATTTAGGAGACAAAATGCCACAGAAATTTTTAGATCAGTTTCTTCCAAATAATATTTGGAGTTCTAGGCCTGCCCAGGACTAATTTACAGATCCCAAAGGTAAAGATCATTTGTGGCCTCAGCAGCCTGATAGCCAGTGCTTCTCCAGGAATGTTTTTAAAGTCAATTCAGTAAGTATAAACCCAAACACATTGAAATTCTAAGGTGTTTTGTATGCATGTGTGTGTTTTTTTAATGGGAATGGAGGGGTTGGGTGAATTTTTTTTTTTAAACTACAAAATTTACCCATGAATATTGGCAAAAAGTGGCAAATCAACACAGATGAAATTCTCCTTGGGGAGGCAATATCACCCAGGAAAGACAGTGTGGGATGAGTGTTGTTGAAAACCACAATGCACAATCAAATGCTAAGTCTACAGAGAAAATATCACAACCAGTGAATGCAGGGTTTTGAATTTTTTCTATAGCCAGATAGTAGAAGCCAATTAAAGTGTCTGGACACAAGAGCATCAGTGCCCCTGCTCTGCAAAGAATGCACATTATTATTGGCAACTCCACCAAGTCTCCATGGAAAAGAATGTTTAGTGCATTTTTGCCATATATTTATTCCCTCTCGTTATCTCTGCTCATAGGGATCAAACAAGCACCTCAGCCATCAGGTTTTGATAGAGATGTGTTGGTGGACTCATACCACTCCACAAAAAGACCAGGTAAGGAACAAGATGCTGACTCCCTTATGGCAACTCAGCCCTGAAACTTGAACAGTAACTGCAGTGTCATTGTTGCAGAAAAAACAGCAACGTCCACATAGCCGCAAAGTGTCAGAACCAGGCAAACAGTGCATGAGTATTGCTAGAAAACCATTTGAAATATTATCTTTAGGGGAACGAAAAGATCCCTGTACAGAAATCAAATGTTAATAAGAACCAAATGGGGTACTACTTTAATAATTACTTTCTATAATATTCTAAGGGATCATAATGAACAAATTCTGCAGAATCACCATGGGTTCTAGTTTTTAATCATGTTTAAGCTTTACTCTTCTGTGATTCATTGCAATATCCTTTTGCCTGAAAGAATTATTTATGTTCCTGATTTAAGAGTATGCTCTATGTAATAGACCAAAAGTATGACGCTAGTGACTTGGAAATCTTTGCACTGAATAAGGTCTCTCCTTTGTTTGTTTGTTTGTTTGTTTGAGACAGAGTTTTGCTCTGTCACCCTGCGTAGAGTGCAGTGGCATCATCATAGCTCACTGCAACCTCAAACTCCTGCCTCAGCCTCCCAAATAGCTGGGACTAAGGCATGTACTAACACGACCAGCTAATTTTTCTATTTGTGGTAGAGATGAGGTCTCACTCTTGCTCAGACTGGTCTCAAACTCCTGAGCTCAAGCAATCCTCCTGCCTTGGCCTCCCGGAGTGCTAGGATTACAGGCGTGAGCCACCGCACCTGGCCTAAGCTCTCTCTGCTTTTTTTAAAAGAATACTGTGAGACCTACTCTGGTATCTTAATGTCCCAAATGTTACCACTCCCCTGAACACGCACACTCTTTCTCTTCTCTCTTTTTCTCTTCCTAGTATTACAGGCAGTACTTTATGCTACAGGGCATTTTCCTGGATTGATAATTTTATTTGAAGATTTTAAAACCAACATATGTTATGCAAAAAAAGAGATAAATTTTTAAGCTATAACACAAGACAAAAATTTGGGTTAAAGTGGACTGCTCCAAGTATCTTTAGCCTTGCCAACCTTTGTGCAAAATGGATACCGTTGTGCAAATTATAAAAAGGTGCCTCTCGATCCCACCCTTTAAGCAGACCAGTTAGAAAAACATGTCCTTTCTCAGGGCTGGAGCTGGAGCTCATGGGTGAGTGAGCAGAGCGGCTTCCACTCTTACTGCCCTGGCCTGGTGCAATAAACAACCACAACCGCTCATAGTGACCCTGCTCTGCACAGACAAAAGCTTGTTGTTTCTGCCATCAGAGTTACTTCTATGTAATCACTGGAGAAGTTCTGAAGGTGTTTGTTTAATTGTAATTACATAACAGAGCTGGAGATGGGGTGGAATATCCACAGAAGGAGAAATTATAAGCTTTAACAATGTAAGCTAAAATGGTGTGTCAACCTAAAATAATCAAAAGAATCAGAATCCTTTTTTGTCAAAGTTTGAGGATGAACTGCCCAGGAAGCACAGATTCCAAAGAACATAAGTCAGAGTTCCAAAATGTAGAAGTTTGGAATCACTCATACAAAGCTTGAGGAAGTTTAATGGAATTTCAACATCTATGATGTTGAAATTTCATTAGTCAAGGTAGTCTTTTCATTAGTCAAGGTAGTCTTTTTCTTTTGGGAAATATATATTTAACATTCCACAGAAGATGTAACTGTCATGGGCACCATCTGATCTGAGTTAGGCACAGGACAATAAATAAGGCAGTTAATCCATAACAAAGATCAGTGATTAGAAGGGGAGAAGTCTGGTTTCTAGTCTCTCCTAGTCATTTATAGAACAAGAACAATGAGAAAGAGAGTTAATCTATAATCTACAAAGCAGAATTGCAAACATGCTATGTGACTCAGTTTCCAGGGCTTAACTTCTTCCTTGGCATAATAAATTTAGAGGATCCTAAAATTTTATTTTCTTTAACAGGTATAAGAAATTGAAATCTCAAAATCAAAGACAACTGGGGATAATAAAGTTTAGAAACCATTAAATCTATGTGAAAAACAAAAGTCGTTAAATTCTGCATATCTATACAGCCTTTCAAAAGGCAGACATACCACTATGCAGATGTCCCCTGGTGTCCGGAGGAGATTGGTTCCGGGACTCCGCTCAGATACCAACATCTGAGGATGCTCAATATGCTTACATAACCTATGCCCATCCTCCCGTATGCTTTAAATCATCTCTAGATTACCCATAATACCTAACACAATGTAAATGCTGTGTGAATAGTTGTTATACTGTATTTTTTTGTTATTTTTATTGGTATATTGTTACTTTTATGGAGTTTTTTTCTGAATATTTTTCATCCACCATTGGCTGAATCAATGGATCAGGAACCCGCAGGATACAAAGGGTCACCTGTATCAACTGTGTTTTCATCTATAATTAGAAGATACGTTTTCCATATATTAATGTGCTTTGTTATCTCTGGGTACATTACCAACATTAGTCTACGGGAATATCAATATATTACTCATATGCACTTTTCTGCAGATTTGCTGTCATCCAACTGCTACTTATCAAACATTTTTTATTAAAAAAACCTGTGATTTTTGTGTAGTGAATTCTTATGGTGGCTTTATCTGTAATATAATCTCTTGTCCACAACCCCAGGCACTCGCCGCCCACCCCTGCCACCCAGACCTACACCCCCACGAAGGAAACCGTTACCACCAAATAACGTCACCGGGAAGCCAGGAAGTGCAGGTACGTTCATCATATACCTTCCTTCTCTCTCCATGATTTCAGTTTTACGAGCCAACCGCAAGCCCTTCTTGGCATGCTAGCTCAGGCAGAGGACAAGCCACTGGAGTGTGTAACGCGTGCTTGTGTTGGCCTGGAGACCAAATACTGTAAATGACAGCTTTGAGGACTCATAACCTGACTTTTGAATGGCAGAGTGAAAGAAATCATCCCTCTGCATCTAGACCAGTTTGCTTCTTAGAAGTCTGTGTTCTTGGACCCTAGATTGAAGCTGACACAGGCCCATCAACAAGTGGCTTATTTGGACAGGATGCTGTAACTGCCAAGCCCCAGGGGCAATGGAAAATGTGATGCCCTGTCATCAACTCATCATTCTGTCTCCTGAAATGAAATCCTATACATCTCACTGAAAGCTACCCTGTCCAACATCCTTCCTGCCAGCCCCAGTATTACAGTACTCAGGGGACAATTTGGGAATAAAATATGTCACTGAGCAGACCTACCCTGTGCAACCAGGCAGGGATGTGTTTAGGAGGCAAGCCACCTCTCACCTGCAGGCCTCCCATATGTTGCTCCCCAGCAGGGAATGACTCCTCCCAGGCCTGGGATACACATACTTCATCCTTTTCTTAAAGAAACCTTCCCTGACTCACCAAGGTAGTCTTAGCATTGCTTCTCTGTTCTACGTGTCCTTGACATACACCTCTGTTAGAGCAAAGAGCAAATTGTTTTAGACCTGTTTGTTTGCATACTTGTCTTCCCCTACCAGACTGAGCTCTGCGATGACAGAGTCCTTGATATATTTTCTCTGACTTCCCAGAACCAAATCCAGTGCTTAGCACATAGAAGATATTCGATAGGTAATAACTGAGTGAATAAATGGATGAATGTAAGAGTCAGTGAAAACTGACCCAGGTAAGAGGAAAGCTTGGCCTCATTTCTATTAAGGGCTCTTCCCCCAGGACCTGCCAGCAAACTGCAGCCTGTTCCCCATCTTTCCTCCCTCTCCCCAAATCTCCACTTCCTACATATTTTGCAGGTGGAATCAAGATATGCATAAAAGTGTTAAAGACAGCTGTGAATGATAAAACTGATGAGGATTTACATGAAAGGGGTGGCTGCCACTCTTCACAGGATGAAAGGAGGATATTGTGATGGAGCTTTTATGATGTCTCTTACGCACAGTGAATTCTATCTAGATGGTTTTCCCCATGGGCTGGAGCCCCACACCCATGCTTCTGGTGCCTTTGTGAGTCAAGGCCCAGGGACTTGGCCTCCTCCCCATCTATTGTAACCTGGGGCAGCTGTTATTTGAGCTCCAGTGGCCTTTGGGTCAGACTGGGTGTGTCACAGACTGATGTCTGAGTGTGCCCATGGAAAACTTGGGGGGCCACTCCCACAGAGCTCCCCTGTAAGCCTGTGTGTCTTCAACTACAGTTTGAGGGCCTTGGTCAGTTAGTGTAGCTTTGGTACAGCCTGGTCAGCCTGAAGAAAAACCATAAACACATTCCACTTCTGAGATGAGGTCTGGTCCCAGCTCCACACCTCCCATCCCCTAGCCCCCACTGCTAACTCAGAGGAACTCTCTCATTGAAGAGGCAAACAGCAAACAAGGGCAACTGTAGAAATCTGGCCTGATTCACATCACAGAAAGCATATCCTGAATTCCAACTACACATCTGGGAGTCCTCCGAGAGGCTCTCACATGTGCCTATGAACACATCTGCCTCTTGTCCCCTATCTCCGGATCTACCAAGCCTTCCCAGTTCCACTGTCCCTGCCAGAGTAAAAATGCCCTGCCGGCATTTCCTGCTTCCCCTGGCAGCTCTGAAGAGCTTGTTGGGGCCACACAGTGCAATATGCCACCCGTCTTTTGGTGGCCTATTCCCAGTAAGACCAGGAGCATGAGCCCCCTGGGGCTGGACTTGAGGCCCTTCTGACTGACTCAGCCGCAGTGCCATGCTGGGCCACAATCCTCGGTCAGTCTTGTCTCCCTTGACTTCTGTTGCCCGAGAATGACTCTTTCTTCCAGGAGGAATATGAAATCCAATCTAGCGTCCTCTCTACTCATAATACCCAGACTTGCCTGGACCTTGGGATGGATCCAGTTTTCGAGACTTACAAGTGTTTCTAGAGTAGAGGAGTCACTGTTAATGCAACAAGTCAGATAGCACCATACGGGCCACCAGGCCAGAATCACAGACATTGCGCTAGGGATCTTTTTCCTCCTTCTCTGGCCAGCTCCCATACCGGCCAGTGAGTCTCCTGGCCATACCGTGTCCATCCCGTCCACCCAGTCCCACTGCTTCTGCCGGAGTTCACCTCCCCTTCCCTTGCTTACACGGTACCCTGGACCCCTGACGTCTCTCTCTCACCAGGCTGTGCCCTAACCATCCATCCTGTCATCTTATCATGTTACTTCCCTATTGAAAATCAGTCCGTCCTTATTACCTAAAAATAACATCCAAATCCACAAAATACAAGTTGTTTCGTGATCTAACCTGCCCCCACTCTCAGCCCTGACTGCATTTCTGGGCCCTCTCCACCCTCACCCCTTCAAATTAAACACACCTAGCTGTTTCATGCTTCCCTGGCATGGTTCTTGTTCCACCTGTCATCCCTACCTACCAGTCACTTCTCCTCTTTATTGGCACACTCTCCATGAAGGCACTCCCACACACCCAACCCAATAACCCTCCATCCTTCCTCATATGCAGAACCACTCCCTCTTCTTGCCCGCTCTGTGACCTCACCTAGTTCTTTCCCAATAACCATAAGGCTTCGCTATACTTGGCTCACACATCTATCTCCATCAAGGACTGCATCTTGTTTTCTCTCCAAGCCTGGCCTATGGTGCCAAGCCACATGGTAAGTGCTTAATAAACACTCATTGAATAAATAAATGGGAGACTTGGCAGTGTTCCTATAAAGCCTGACTACTTTGGCTCTACATTACAGGAATCATTTCATCAGACCCAATCACTTCCCCACCCCTGAGGGCAACACTCAGACCTACTGGAGCGCCCTGGGAGAGGACAGAGACAGAGATAAAGCAACCAACAGTCCCTGCCTCTGGAGAAGAACTGGGTTAGTATGGCAGTCAGTTCTCACTGGATACTTAGCTACAAGGTACTAAAAGATTTCAAATGGGAGGGGAGAGCTTCAGTTCTGGGCTTCTGTTTTACTCAATTTTTTGATTAATATGGGTCTCTTTAATTTTAAAATTATACTTTCTTTCAATGCTTCCTTATAGAGTACACTCTTTGTCTTAGCAGACATAGAAGAAAGTGCCTAAGTTTGGATCCTAAACAGATCTAGACTACCCAGTGCTTACTACTAAATTACATTAACTACGCATATTTTAATTTGTTAATGAGTATTAACTACTTGGTTATAATGTTGAATTCATTATTTATTATATTCCAGAATACCTTGCAGCAAGACACAATTAAAGGCCTTTTATTATATATGAATACAAATAATAATAATAAAGGAAATCAAAGCTTTCAGCAGTTTACCAGGGGGAATATTGAATATCTTTAGTCTTTACTACTTTTTCATTGTATTATGATGCTTTTTTTTTTATCTTGCCAAAATTGTTTATTATCTTCCATTCTCAGATAATATAACTGACTTTAGCTCAAGTCCAACAAGAGAAACTGATCCTCTTGGGAAGCCCAGATTCAAAGGTATGTATGATGGCTCCAAATCTCAATTTTGACAAGGCTATTTTTGTGGGTGTGTCAGCCATTGCTGTAAAACAAACAACCACAAAATCTTAGTAGCCTACTATGATAAGGATTTATTTTTCATGTGTCTGCAAGTCAACTGAGGGTCAGCTGATCTAGGACATGCTTGATTAGATGGTTCTGCTTCTAGCAGCAGATACAGCTGGGCCTCTTGTGGGTTGGGCTCTGGTCCACCCTTCATGTGTTCATTCTGATGCCCAAGATAAAGGACCAACAATGACCCAGGAGAAGCCATGAAGCCATTCTCATGACAATACAAAATCAAGAAAGAGTGCATCCGAATGCACAACCACATTTCAAGCTACTCTCTGTGTCATTATCTGCCAATGTGCACTAGCCAAAAAAAGTCACATAGCCAAGTTCAAATCAAGAATTGGGGAAGTATACTCCTCCCATAGACATAAAGAATATTTTTGAACAATAATCTACAATAGTAGGAGAGACAGAATATACAGAACCCAGTATTTCCTTTTCTAATATTTTTTCTTAAATGTAACATTTGATACATTTTTAACACATGTGTACACTCATGAGATCATCATCACAATCAAGATAATGAACACATGCATTACTTCCAAAAGTTTCATCATGTACCTTTGCAATCTCTCCCTCTACTTTTCTCTTCTAACCCCCAGTTCCTAGGTAATGCATATCTGCTATACTATAAATTTGTATGCACTTTATGGAATTTTACATAAGTTGAAAACAGACAGTATGAATTCTCTTTTTGGTCTAGCTTCTTTTACCAACATAATCATTTGGAGATCTGTCCATGTTGCTATATGTACCAATAGTCCATTCCTTTTTATTGCTGACTGGTATTCTATTATATGGATATAAATAATAATTTGTTTCTTTATTAAACCTGCTCATGACATTTAGGTATTTCTAATTTTTTTACATTACCAATAAAGCTTCTGTGACTATTCATATAAAAGTCTTTGTGTAGCTATATGCTTTCATTCCTTTTGGACAAATAGGAGGAGAATGGCTATATAAGCGTATATTTAACATTTTAAGAGACTATCAAACTGTTTTCCAAAATGGATATACTCTTTTATTTTTCTGTCAGCAGTGTTGAGGGTTCTAGTTCCTCCACATGCTCACTGTTTAGTATGGTCAGTCTGTTTAATTTTAGCCATTTTAATAGATTTTTAGTGGTATACGATTGTGATTTTAATTTGCATGTCTCTGATGACGAAGGATGTTGAATATCTTTTCATGTGCTTATTTGCCAACTATATATCTTTTTAGCATGTCCAAATTTTTGCCCATTTTTTGAAATGGGGTTGCTTGTTAATGTTGAATTTTGAGAATCTTTGTTTTCTTGGATGTTGAATATCTTTTCATGTGCTTATTTGCCAACTATATATCTTTTTAGGATGTCCAAATTTTTGCCCATTTTTTAAAATGGGGTTGCTTGTTAATGTTGAATTTTGAGAATCTTTGTTTTCTTGGTATAAGACCTTTTTTAGATACATACTTTACAAATATTTTCTCTCAGTGTGTGTCTTTTTAATTTTAATGGACCCCAGTATATCAATATTTTTCATAGAACTCACTTTCTTTAACTGGTACAGGGCTATTCTGCATATTTTGTCTTCCTGAGTGAGCTTTCAAAGTATTAGTCCATTTTATCTAAGTTGTCAAGTTTATTTGCATAAAATTATTCATAATATTTCTTACTTTAATGTCTGTATTTTTGGTGCCACATCTAAGAAATCATTCACTAATCAGAGGTCACAAAAGTTTTCTCCTATAGTTTCCTTCTAGAAGTTTTATACTTTTACATTTAAGTCTGTGATTCATATTGTGCAAAATTTTGTATGTCATACAAGGCATAAGCACATGTTTTCTTGCTTATGGATATTCAACTGTTCCAGCATCATTTGTTGAAAAAAACTATCCTTTCTCCACTGAATTGTGTTTGTACCTTTGTCAAAAATCAATTGTTCATATATAGGTAGATATATTTTGGGGCTCTCTGGGCTGTTCTGTTGATCTTTTATGTACCTTTACATCAACACCACACTTTCTGGATTCCTGTGGTATCTCGCAATCAGGTTGTGTTAGTCTTCCAATGTTGTTCTTAGTTTTCAAAGTTGTTTTGGTGATTCTGAGTCCTTTCTATTTCCATATAAATTTTAGAATCATCTTGTCACTATCTAAAAAATAGCTTGCTGAGATTTTAATGACTTGTATTGAATCTATAGGTCAATTGGGAATAATTCACAGCTAAAAAGTATTGTCTTCCCACCTATGAACATGATATATCTCACCATTTATTAATATTTAGGTTTTTAGAATTTCCCTCACCAACGGTTTATAGTTTTCAGTATACAGAAAATATAGAAGTAGTATTTTTATTTCAATTTCCAATTGTTCATTGCTAATATGTAGGGAAAAAATCTTGTATAGTGATCTTGTATCCTGGAACCTTACAAAACTCATTAATTCTAGTAGCTTTTTTGTAGACACGTTGGATTTTCTACACAATTATGTCATCTGAGACTAGTTTTACTTCTTCCTTTCTGACCTGGGTGCCTTATTTTTTCTTGCCTTATTGTGCTGGCTGGAGCCTCTAGTAAAATATTGTATAGAAATTATAAGAAAAAACATCTTTTTCTTTCTGATCTTATGGATAAAGAATTCAGTCTTTCACTGTTAAGTACAGTATTGTACATTTTTCATAGATTCATTTATTGGGATAAGAATGTTCCATTCTATTCCTAGTTTGGTGATAATTTTTATCAGAAATTGATGCTAGATTATGCTTGATTTATCTGCTTTTATTGAGATGATTATATGGTTTTTCTTTGTTAGTTTGTTAATATGATGAAGTACTTGATTTTTTAAATTTTAAACTAACCTTGCATTCCAGGGACAAACTCCACTTGGTCATAATGTATTCTCATTTCATATAATGTTGGATTTAATTTGCCAAAATTTTTTGTAGCAATGTATTCATGAAGGATATTGATCTGTAGCTCAAGTTTGAATATCAGAATGATGCCAAACTCTCCTCTTCAATTTTCTGGAAGAGTTTGTTTAGAATTGCTATTGCTTCTTCCATAAATATTTAGTAGTATTTACTAGTGAAGCCCTCTGAACCTCACATTCTCTTTGTGGGAAGGTTTTTACATATAAATTCACTTTCTTTTATAGATATAGGGCTATTCAGAATATTAATATTTTTTCCTCCTTAATGAGGTTTGGTAGTTTGTGTCTTTCAAGGTATAGTCTATCTCATCTAAGTTGTCAAATTTATTGGCATCTGTTTGTTCATAATATTCCTTTATTAATACCTGTAGAATCTGTACTGATGTCACCTCTCTCATCCCTGATATTACTAATGTGTATCTTTTTTTCTCTGTTGCCTAATCAGTCTGTAAGTTTATCAGTTCTCCTTGGATCTGAAAAGCTCAACTTTTTTTTCACTGATTTTTCTCTTGCTATGTTTTCTGTTTTCTATTTCATTTATTTTTATTTGGCTCTGAATTCCTTTCTTCTGCTTAATTTAGGTTTAATTTTCTTTTGTAATTCTAGTTTCTTAAGGTAGAAAATGAGCTCTTTGATTTGAGACTTCTCTTTTTTTAAAACAAACTTTGGCATCAAAGCTCTCAACCCCTGGGTGGGCTCAAACCACCAAACTTTTGGTTAACACAGCAGGCTTACTGATAGCACTATGGAGACAAAGGTCTTTCTTGTCTTTTAATATGACATTTAGTGCTCCAGATTTCCCCCTAGATGTTACTTAATCAGCATCTAAATTTTTTGATATGTTGTGTCTTCATTTTTATTTAACATACTTTTCAATTTCCCTTTTAATTTCTGCTTTGACCCATTGATTACTGAGAAGTGTATTATTTATAAATAAATAAATATTTAATTTCTAAATATTTAAAGATTTCTCAGAGATCAATCTCTTATTGATTTTTAATTTACCTCTGTTCTGGGCTGATACTCTGTATTACTTGAATCCTTTTAAATTTGCTGAGACTTTTTTATGGTCTATAACATGGTCTATCTTGGTACATGTTCTGTGTGTACTTGAAAAGAACATGTATATTCTCTTACTCTTAAATGGAGTGTTGAATTAACTTGCTAGGGCTGCCATGACAAAATATCATGGACTTGGTGGCTTAAATGATAGAAATTTATTTTCTCACAGTTCTGGAAGCAAGAAGTCTGAGATCAGCAGGTTTGGCTTTTCCTGCGGCCTCTCTCCTTGGCTTGCAGATGGCCTGCCACCTTCTCACTGTGTCATCTATGCCCTTTTCTCTGTGCATGCACATCTCTGTTGTCTTCCTTTTCTTTTAAGGACACAGTCAGGTTGGGTTAGGGATCTACCCTATGACCTCATTTAACCTCAATAACCTCTTTAAATCCCTGTCTCCAAATACGGTCACACTGGACGTTAGGGCCTCAAAACATGGATTTTAGAGGGACACAAATCAATCCATAACAAGTGCTCTATAAATGTCAATTAGGTCAAGTTGCTTATCTGTATTGTGGAGTTCTGCCTCCTTACTGATATTCTGTCTACTTGATCTATCAATTAATGAGAAAAGAGTATTGAAATCTCTGACTGTAATTGTGGATTTATTTCTACTTGAAGTTCTATCAGTTTTTGCTTTGTGTATTTTAAAGGTCTGTATTCTGGTACAGAACTAAATTACTTAGTATTGTAGTAAATTCCTAATTGATACTTTATCATTACAAAATGACCTTTTCTGTTTCTGGTAATATTCTTTGCTCTGAAATCTAATTTGTTGGTATTTCTATATCCAGTCAAGCTTTTTTTTGATTAGTGTTATCATTTTTTTCATCCTTTTATTTTTAACCTACTTAACCTATCTAAAGTGTTTTTGTTATTGGCATCATATAGTTGGGTGATACTTTTTTATCCAATCTAACAATTTCTTCATTTTATTTTGGGTTCATAGAACCTTACATTTAATATGGTTATTGATACTGTCAGGTTTAAATCTTCATCTTGCTATTTGTTTTCTATTTGTCCCATCTGTTCTGTGGCGAGTTAGCTATGCTCCCAGCAAAAATCGGGTCCCTTTGGCAGGGGTCATCACAAGGGATAAGGAAATATTAGAAAGAGAAAATAATAGAATATAGAAATAAAAGAATACACAGAGGCGAAAGTACAGCTTTTATAAAGTATAGTTTTATAAAGTTGAGGGAGTCAGGAGACCTCCAGCATTCCCGTGAGCTGTGAGTCCACGAGTGAAGTCCGGTATCAGTATTTATTGGTACAGTGATCAGTTGCCAGGGGTAACAGATTTACATAATAAAAGGTGGTTCATTTTAGGTTAAAAGTCTCACGAAAGGCTTCTAGAGATCCCTTAATTAACTTCATCTACATGAGAAAAATCTTTCTAAGACAAACTTCTAAGTCCTAAGATAAAATTATCACTTAGCAGAAAGGTTAAACAGAAATATAGTGGCTCTATATTTCTTTATCTAGTTTTTTGTTGATGGAGACAGGTAGTCAGGAGTGACACAGGAATTGTCCCTTAGGCTAATTGCTTTTAGCTGCAGGTGTCTGTAGGGTGGGCACTCTTTGATCGGTTCTCACCCTGTGGCCCCATGCCAAACTTTGTAGTATAGAAGCAGACGCAAGACGACACAGGTCTGAGACACAGTGTTGCCATGGAAAGCACTGCTGACTGGTGAGATGCCCTCCTGAGGTGAGGCAGCTTTTGATATGTGAACTAACATGTTCACATATTCCTTCAGAGCAAAGCCCTGAAAAACTACTGAAATCTTATATGTCTCTATAGGAGACAACTCTATAGAGCAACACTATTCTTTTTTTCCTCTTTTCTCCTTTTCCAGCCTTTTTTTGGGTTGAGTACTTTATGATTCCATTGTACCTTTATTGTTGTCTTATTAGCTATAACCCTTTATTATGTGAATGGCTGCTTTGGGGGTTATGGTACATATCTTTAACTTATCACAATTTACCTTCCAGTGATAATATATAACTTCACATACAGTATATAAGAAACTTACACTAGCATAGCTGCTTTTCTCTCAGTCTCTGGGCTATTGTTATTGTACATTTTACTTTTACATGTTATATACATTATACTAAAGTATTTTGATTTTAAACAGTAAATTATTACTTAGAAATAATAAGGAAAATATTGTGTACATTTACTTATGTAATTACCTTTCCAGCACTTTTCATCCCTTTGCGTGGACCTGTATTTCCATCTGGTCCTCATTTTCCTTCTATCTGAAAGAATTCTTTTGATATTTGTTGTAGTGAGGATCTGCTGGTAATGAATTCTTATGGGTTTTGTATACTCTAAAAAGAGTATTTTGCTTTTGTTTTTTTTTTAAAAAGATACTCTCACTACTCACTGAATTCTAAATGATGCTTTTTCTTTCAATATTTGAAGATGTTCATCCGCTGCCTCTTACTTGCGTTCTTTCCAGTGAGAAGTCTGCCACAATCCTTATTTTTGTTGGTCTATAGATGTCTTTTTTCTCTGTCTTTTTTAAGGATTTTCTCTTTATCGCTGGTTTCGAGAAACTTGATTATGATTGATATCATTTTCTTCATGTTTGTTGTGCTTAGATGTCTCTGAGCTTTTTGGATCTCAGATCCAAAATATATTTTTTTCATTTTTAAAATATTGTTGAGTTCTGTGGTGTGCAGTAAAATTACTTGAAACCACTTGATGCTTTTGAGTCTGGCTTTTAAGGTTTATTAGGTGGGACCAGAATTGTGTTTAGCAAAGGACTAAATATTCCCCACCAGTGAGGTAAGACTCACTGCCCTGTAAATTATGAGATTTAAAGAGGGACCAAATTACTTTTGGATATTAGCATAAGCTAAACCTGTTTAGTAAGTAAGTCAACATTATCTGTGTCATGTATCTCAGAGGCAAGATTTTGGATTTTCCAGGTTTGAACCATCCACAACACTGCTTTCAACTACCTGCTTATATGAGACCAGATGTCTTTAAGCAAATAATTAAATTTATGAATTCACTTCCATCTTCTTCACAAAATCCTTAAACGTCAGAGTCCTGTCTCTTGTAGGTCCTCATGTGCGATACATCCAAAAGCCTGACAACAGTCCCTGCTCCATTACTGACTCTGTCAAGCGGTTCCCCAAAGAGGAGGCCACAGATGGGAATGCCACCAGCCCACCACAGAACCCACCTACCAACCTCACTGTGGTGACCGTGGAAGGGTGCCCCTCGTTTGTCATCTTGGACTGGGAAAAGCCACTAAATGACACTGTCACTGGTAAGATCATGGCACCAGGACCATTAATACTGTGGGAAGCATTGATAACATGATGCATTGGGAATAGGGTACCCTGGGTCAACTGTGATACGTGAAGCATATCTGAGGAGGAGCAAGTCCTAGCAGAGTTCTGCTGTTGTTATGGCACGTTACTATTGAAAGTGTCACAATGTGAGGAAAAAACATCTTTGTCCTTGTTATGGGCTCCCACTTAATTTAGCATATCTCTTTAAGCTGCATTTCTTCTGTCTTCTCTCAGAATTCTTTTTCACAATATGAAGACGTAGCTAGACTTTTCATTACCAAGAAAAATTACAGAAAATACATGAGGAATTGCCATTGCTGATGATATTTGAACTAGTTTTCCTTTTAGCAGCCCAATTTCCAAATTGACCTAGAACTTTCAAGCAGGTTAAAGTTATTTCAACTGTTTTAGGAGAAATAGAAACAAAAATTCTGTTTCTGGTCATCTCAAAAAATTTTGATTCTGGCCGGGCGCGGTGGCTCACGCCTGTAATCCTAGCACTCTGGGAGGCCGAGGTGGGTGGATGGCTCAAGGTCAGGAGTTCGAGACCAGCCTGGGCAAGAGTGAGACCCCGTCTCTACTAAAAAATAGAAATAAATGATCTGGACAACTAAATATATATATATAAATTAGCCGGGCATGGTGGTACATGCCTGTAGTCCCAGCTACTCAGGAGGCTGAGGCAGGAGGATGGCTTGAACCCAGGAGTTTGAGGTTGCTGTGAGCTAGGCTGATGCCATGGCACTCTAGCCCGGGCAACAGAGAAAGACTCTGTCTCACAAAAAAAAAAAAAAATTTGATTCTGCCACCATCTACCCAATTACTCTAAAAATGACCATGAAAAATAAGAAACCCTGAGTCGCTCTTTGAATTAGTTATAACAATTTGGTTCTCCATAGAGAACAGGATGGTCACACAAGAGGGGTGGGGGAAAGACTAACCTAAATCAGCTAGAAGATACAGCAAATGGTCAATGTGAGTACATGGGAAGTTCCTGACACTCAGATCCTTGCCATGTACCTGGTACAGGTAGACAGGGAATAGAGGGGCTGACTAAAAGGCTGTCAGGAGTAGAGAGAAGCAGCACACAGGGCCAGGTAGGCAGTGGTGGGATTCAGGATCTGCCAAAAATGTTTTCTGTGTAAAAAAACAGCTGCTATTTCTCCTCAGATGGAACCATTTGATCTGGGCAACTTCCAGTATAAGCAGTCTTTGTTTGCTTAGCTTGCTTTCTTTACCATTTTTTTTCTTATGAATTTCCTTTTTTCATGCAAAGCTAGCCTTTGTTTTGTTTTGTTTTTTTATTTTAGTTACAGTATCTCCCTCTGTCACCAAGGCTGTAGTACAATGGTACGATCATAGCCTACTACAGCGTCAAACTCTTGGACTCTAGCAATCCTCCTGCCTTGGCCTTCCAAGTCATTGGGATTACAGGCATGTGTCACTGCACCCAACCTAGTCTTTGTTTTGAGAAAGAAGCAGCCCACTTCCCCTTGGTTCCTGGACATTTGCCTAGTCCTACTTTTTACTTGGGACTACCATCTCAATATCTAAAAATCAATCTCCCAGTATCGATTATCTACATGTATTAAAACGTCCAAAACTCTCCATCCACATACTATGTTAATAAGGAGTTCCTATGATAGTTTGAGGCTTAGTTTTCATAAAATCAAATGATCTTTAAAATTTCATTTGCCTTAAATGTGGGACATCAAGTTAGAATTGGTTCATCTAATACATATCCAGTTGGATATGTCAATAATATTTGATTTAACTTTTCAAAGATGAAGGATTTTCCTTTTTGATTTTATAAATTTTTAATTTCAAGAATCATGGATAAGAGTATACTTTAACCAATTGCTTTTGTAATGTTACTAAATGTTAATGGTTTGTTTAGAATCTTTTACAAGATATAGGAGACTTATAATAACAATTTTTATGGATAAGGATCATATTTCTTTAGCTATAATGTTTCCTAAGTAGAAATAAGTTCATATTTAACCATTGCTCTAGTCCATATTTAAACATTGGAGGATTTGCCCTAAGACTCTGTTTCAATTTTTTTTTTCTATTTCATTTTAGTGTTTCATTACATACCACTTGATTTCAAATGTCATTGTTTATAAACCAGCAGCTCAGATCATACAGGGATTAATCCTTATATCACTGGAACTGATTTTGCAAGAAGGTATTGAGAAATAACAAAAAGAGTGAATCGTATTCTTCAGTTCCCCTGAGTTAGTTGGTGTGAATAATCTTTCTTTGAGTTGATAGGCCCATATTCAGTCATACCTCCAAATTCAGCTGCTTTTACATGTCCCTCCTACACTGAAGTTGAAATAGATGCACCTGAAAATTGGCCATAGCCTGGGTCCTTGGACAACTTAAAGTTAGTTATAAGTCATTGCAGTGTGATATTCCAAGAGCCTCCTGGCATAGATTTAAATCCTAGGCCTGCTTTGTTCTAGATGTGCAACTTGGATATATAATTGGCCTTGTTGAGCCTTAGTTTCTTTATCTTTAATAATAATAACTCCCATTGTTATCAATTTATCCTGAGGATAAAATTAAATGAAGTATTTGAATATGCAGCACAAATTAGAAATTGTTAAATTAATGTTTGTCAGTAGTAGCAATAATAGAAGCAATTTTTATAATGTTGGTGAATTTACGAAAAGGCATTATTAGCCCCTTAAAGCATCAAAAATGAAAGATATATTCACAAATCATAAGACAAACATATTTTCAAAAGCAAGAATTCAGAGAGAAATTCTAAATGTCTTTTTAATTATGAAGGAAGCTTCTAGGTTCATTTTGAAAACTCTTACCCTCCAGGAAAAAAATATTATTAAATTAACTATTAAAACTTGAGTCAAATGAAAATGAAAATGTACAATAGAATTTTTAAGTACTGAAAGGCTGGCTTAGTATCAGTAGGATATCATACAGTCGATGAGGAATGCACCAAGCCAAAGATGGTTTTTGAAGGTGGCTCCTTTAGTGCATAACCAATTAGAGTGTCATATAAACTGTTTTTTTGGTGACTAAGCAGCACTTGAATCTTTCCGATTGGAATCTTAAAATTTTTGTGATGCTATTTTCAGAGTACAACTCAGGGACGATAAAGAATTATAAAAGCAACAGTAATAATAGGTACCACCTGTTGAGCAAAATACATGGAAGATATTATTAGGAACTTCCCATATGTTCCTAATTTAACCCCCACAAGCAAAACACTATGAAGATTTATTATTGGCATTTTACAAATGGGAAGCATTGAGACCAAGTTCAAAGCAAGTGACTTGTTTTATCTCTTTCTGTTATACCATGCAGTTTCCATTTTTTAAAAAATCAATTTTACTTACATTTTAATTATTTCCACTTTTTTTTTTTTTTTTAACAAACATCCCTTTACAGCAGAGGAAAAGATACAAAACAGATAGATTTGAATTTAGGGTCCTCCCACTGTGCCTCCCTCCCTTTCCACTCTGTTAGAATACACAGCCAATTGAGAGATGGGTTGGGATCAGAAAAGCCTGAATGAAGGTACAAAGTATCAGTGATTAGTACTTTAATAGTTGCACTGGGTATCCAGATATCATGGCCACTGTCTTCCAGTTTAATTTTGAATTTTTGGAAAGATAACCATATAAAATTACCCAGAAAAAAGTCATCTTCTTTTTGGATTTTTAAAATATATTATTAAGAATCCTCCCTAGGCCAGGTGCCGTGGGTCATGCCTATAATCCTAGCACTTTGGGAGGCTAAGGCAGGAAGACTGAGGCCAGAAGTTTAAGATAAGCCTGAGGAATATAATGAGACCCCAACTCTACAAAAAATAGAAAAATAAGCTGGGCATGGTGGCATGTGTCTGTAGTCCCAGATACTCAGGAGGCTGAGGCAGGAGGATCATTTGAGCCCAGGAGTTTGAAGGTGCAGTGAGCTATAATGACGCCACTGCACTCTAGCCCAGGCTACACAGTGAGATCCTGTTGTTTCAAAAAAAAAAAAAAAAAAACCTTCCTAACTATAAATTGGTGATTTTTAGGTCTGCCTGAGTTATTCCACTTTGGGTTTTATTGCAGATATTTAGCCTTTTATCTTTGGTCTCAGTGGTAATGTCAGAAATCCCCAGCATAACTTGCCAGCTCTTTTGCAGCATTTCTACCTTATCTGATGCCCAGAATTTGTGTGTTTCTTCGTATTAATGGAGCTGATTTTGAGTGGGACTTTGTTGTTGCTTGTTTTGCTTTTTGTTTGTTTTTTAGTCCTCTATATCATCTTGTCACATGCATTAAGCTAAATCCCAACTGAGAGCAGGGAAAACCAATTAACAAATGTGTAAATTGTATTCTCTTCTTCTGAATGTCTTTCCCTTTTGATGAGCCCTGTAAGTTCATAAAACATGCTTTTGAGTGAAATTCAAACAGACCTCTATGCAGACTTTAAGGACATGACTTTTTTTTTTAATACAAAGAAAATGATCAAGGGAGCATAACTCACATAAGCAGTAGGTACAAAACCCAACTAATTTTGTAGTTTAAAATAATGAACCATAGTTAAGTAGTGTTTATTATGTGGTTAACTGTTATTTGCTGCTATGATTTGGAACTCAAGTTTTTTGTAGCAGTACCACGTGTTCAGTGGCCTTTTCCCCAACTACATTGTAAAGCTTGTAAAGTAGAAAACATGGCTCCTTCTCAAGCACCACTCCTCATACAGTGCTTTCCCCAGACTGGGCTTTCCCACAGTGGCAGGCTACCTGACTTACCTAAAAAATTCGAAGGTCATGCACCCAGAGCAACCACAGGAGTGTCATCGGTCTTTAGCAGTTACTAGGCCTTCCTCCTCTCTGGTAAAAGGAAAGCAGAAATTGTCAATGAGCAAATCCCAAAATGCTTCTGGGACCTTCATAATCTGCTGACCATGCCTATGTGGAAATTGCTAATGTATAAGATCAATATGCCTCAAGAACTTCAACCTCAATCGCTCACTTTTATGAGAGTGGTTTTATTATGCTATTTGCTTCAAGAGCAATTAAATCAGAGAGAGAAAGACAAGTATCTATTGGCTTTTTTCGCTTTTCAGAATATGAAGTTATATCCAAAGAAAATGGGTCATTCAGTGGGAAGAACAAGTCCATTCAAATTACAAATCAAACCTTCTCCACGGTAGAAAATCTGAAACCAAACACAAGGTAAGCCACCAGTGCTATTCCTGGTACACTCTGAGAGTGCAAAAGACATAACCACAACAAAGAAATGAAATTGTATCATCTTCTCTGTCTCGAAGGGGGGTCTAGCCTGCATCTCACTCTTTGGCTTTCTGTATGTGACAGTAGATACCTATGGAGTCATGTTTAGCAAATATGCATATTATTGATAGGGACAAAAGAGCTGACAAGATGGTTTTATAAGTTAACAGTATAGCAACATAAAAAAATAGAGGGCCATTGATACCAAATGTTTATGTTAAATACCAAAATTTAGAGAAGGAAAAGTCCGTAGACCAGAGACAACTAGAGTGTACATGATGTCAACTAGATTTGAAGCACCAGAAAATTTGGCTGTCATGCTGGAAAGCAGAGGACAAGGACATGAAAGTCACATGACAAAATGTCGGTGAAAGTTTTTAATAGTTAATACTTAAAATAACTACAAGTCCAAGACATGCAGTTCTTTGCTTTTGGAACCCTTTATTACAAATGAGAAAGGAGTTTGACCATAGAGCTACATATTTTTAACATTACTCTATAATAAACAACTTTTCTATGTATCCCTTATTACACACTGATATAAGGTTCATATTGCTGTATAGTTTTATGATTCTTTTCTAAATCTAAAATACACAATATTTTATCAGTTCTTTATATTATTGATACAAAAATGAGGGCCTTAGATATTTCTAGAAAGGTAGTAGGAAAGTTCCAAAAAGAGAATGCTTTTTTCTTGTAAGTTTCACATTGTCGTCAATTGATGGAATGGAATTGGGTATTGATAGTGACACTCCAAAGAGCCTATTTTGGCTCTGACAGTAGTGAGACTTTTCTAATCTTTTTATGGAAAAGGAAGCATCTAATTCATTATAGATGATTTGCTATATATAAACTTTAGTCCTATACTGCAGAAATAACACTTCTTCCACAAGTGTTTTTTTTTTTTCTTTAAAGTTCTCTATTTTGGGATATAACATGGAAAATTTTACAATTCCTAATTTTCTTAAAATATTCAAAGTATCAAAAATAAGCACGTATTTCAGTAAAAGCCCATTTGATGATCTTTGTTCTGTTTCCTTAGCAAGATTGAGAGGGAGATAAAGCCTATTTTTACCATAAAATATTTTAAGGAAAAGGCAAAAGAGAAAAGGTCATTTAATTCAGACTTTTTAATAGGGGGATTGGTGCTTATAAAACTTAGTTTTTCTCTTCTGTTTCCTGCTTTTTATTTCATTTAATAAATAATTCTATTTAATAAAAAGTGACCTGTGTAGTATAAATACATTCATTGAAAGGCATCCAATTTCTAAATGTTCGTTGTGTTCCTTTTCTGAATTGGTCTGTCCTCAGATCTGAATGTAGAACCCAGTTATGCCAGTGACATTTTAAACCCAATTTCTTTGTAAAAGGTTTGCATTTTCATTCAGCTAAAATTTATCTAGTGGCAACAATGTACTCAGTGGTGTACTTGGTGGTGTGGCTATAAACATGAATAAATGTTTGTTCATGAGCTTGAGGCAGAGGGGGAGCAGTTAATAACCAGGTACTCTACACAAAGTGACCAGAGCTCTGACAGAAGTATGCCTAAGGTGACATCAGAGCCCAGAGTGTGTGACACTCCAAGTTTGGGGAAATGAGGAAAATCTTCCTGGTGAAGATGACACCTGAGCTGAGGATGGGCAGGAAGGAGTTATCCAGGTGGTTGAGGTAGGGGGAGGGAGTGTCAGAAAGAATAGCATGTTTCAGGTGGCATGGTTGTGTGCCACGAACATTAGACTACTTTCCTCAGTACAAGTGGTGACAAGTGACTGGAGGGAGAAACAGCAAAGAAAGGTGGAAGCCAGGTTGAAAAGGACCTTGTAAGCCAGATCAGGAGATGGGTAGACCCTGAAGGGTGGTCAGTAGGGAGTGACTTGCTCTAATTTTCATTACAGTTTTCATTCTGACTTTCATTTAATTTTTGTTAATGTCTTGGCAAGAGTGCCATTGGGCATCTGACCTAATTGGTAAAGTTAGGTGGGGAAGAGAAAAGGACCATTGGACTGAGCTGTATTTCATTCGGTAATCACAGGTCATAGGGTTTATATGTAGCTTCTAGTTATAATCATTTTAGGACTTATCCTGACTATTTCTGGAGTTTTCCTCAGGCAGGAAGACAGCATGACCGTCTTTATCCCATCCTCATTGTGTGTGTCTTGCTTTTCTCTCCTGTCCTCCATCAGTGGGCCTCCCACTGAAGGACCCCTAAAACCTATCCTTACCACATGACTAGCAAAGCCTAAAGGAGGCCTGTCTAGATTTGTCTTTGGGGAAAAGCAATATTACATCAAGTTTAGGGACCCCTGAAATCAGGATCGCATGCCAGGTTTTACCACTGGCACTAGTTTGAGGCCATTCAGTTTGTCTATGTGTGGCTTACTTATGTTATTTTTAGAGTTTGGTATGATCTAATGAAATCCATTAGGGTATCAAAATCATTAATTTTCATATATATGATTTAGCCAGAATTATACGGGTAGGTCACTAATGGCTCATGATTTAAAAGTTGTCAATCAGTAGTTTGAAGTAAAGAACATATTTCCATTTGGGAAAAAAATAATAATATACCTGGACGTAAAGGTGTCTGGTGAAAACTGTTTAGTCTTCAGTATGTGAAACCTTGTGCTGGTCAAGTAGTTCAGTAGATCCTAGTCCTCAGTGAGCCTGTGAATGTATCCCACATCTCTCTTAGAGGTATGTTAGAAATTAATGTGTTTATTTAATGGGAAAAAAATGTTTTGAGCTGAAATATTAAAATAATGTGTTGAAACTCCCATTAGACAAAATAATGAGTTAAGGAAGAATAAGGTGAAGTAAATTATTTCAATTAATTTGATATTTCTGAAGCCTGGAAGTATCTGGGAAAACAAAAATAACATCCATGAAGTAACTGTAGAGCACAAAAGAGCATACTCAGCATAGGACTTACACCCAAGTTCTGTGAGTTAGAAGGAGAGGAAGCTTCATGGAATACTTGAGACTAGAACTTGATGGTAAAGAATAAGATGGAAGGGGTATGTTGGCAAGAAAAGGAAAAGCAACCACAGTATTGTTCTTTCTAATCACATCCGTGTGCATGATTTAACTGAAATATAATACAAGTAGTCCTCAAAGTTACTACTGACAGCAAAGCTACAGAATAATAAAGTTACAAGTCCCCCAATTTAGGTTTGTTGGATTTTTTGATGCAAGCTTTTTTCATACTATCTTAAGTTGTCAAGGCATTGTACTTCCATTGTATCTCTTCTACCCCAACCACGATTCAAGATGAATGCTAATAAAAGATGCACTGTAAAAATAAAGAGGAAACATATACAGGAGGCAGCCACCAAGTGGCTTTTATTAGCTATAAAGAATAACCCTAGTTATATTTCAATGCTTGGGGGACATTTTGAATCAGGGTACATGGTAAAATTGAATTTCTAAAATAGGCAAAGTTTGAATTATAGCTGTTAAAATTACCCCATGAAGTTCAGAATTCCATATTTGAATAACTAGAAGATAGATAATATAATAGCTCTATAAAGAATAACCCTAGTTATATTTCAATGCTTGGGGGACATTTTGAATCAGGGTACATTTTAAAATTGAATTTCTAAAATAGGCAAAGTTTGAATTATAGCTGTTAAAATTACCCCATGAAGTTCAGAATTCCATATTTGAATAACTAGAAGATAGATAATATAATAGCTTCTGAAAGAATTACTGTAGCTGTGTTCCAATACTAGGAGATACATGTAAATCATTTATTTTAGTAGCATTTTCCATCACTTGTCCTGAATAAAAATCATGGTATCTGAAATCAGATGATAATTATTGGGAAATCTTTACACACCGACACAGGTGGAGTAGAGTTTGGTGTTAGAACATTTAACCCAGGAAAAACAAGGCAGAGATTAGAGATCCATGAAGTAGTTTTGGTTAGAAATTCTAAATGGTCACACACTATTCTAGAAATAAAATGACAGCAGACTATGCTTCCCTTTCATGATGTATGCCAAATTTCTCTTGCCTGTTTTTATGACTTAGCCCGGTTTTTATCTATTCTGCAGAAGCTCAAAAAATCGCCCACAGTAATGGACCATCCAGAAGGTATTTTGCTTATGGGAGAGTCTGACTCCACACCTGGGTCATATGTTCCTGTCTATAGAGAGCCACAGGGTTGCTGTGAGGCACCTGGGTGCAGCTTCAAAGGTGGCACGGGGCGGCCCTCCCTAACCTGGCCAGTAGCTGCCTGCAGCTGCAGTGGGACTGTGGTCATATATATGGACAGGGAAGAGTCATATATATGCCCAGCGAAGGCTCCTGTTTGTGGAGAGCCCTAACTGTCTTTGTCAAGTGAAGCAACAGAGATCTGTTAACACAAACTTCATCTCTTTCTTTAGAGGATTTCTCTCTCATGCCCTACTCCTAAAATAAAAAGAAAATGTGGTGATGTTGGTATCTAGCGTAATCAGTACCCACCTAAAGCCCATTTCATAAACATAATCTCCATTTATTTCTTATCTATGAAACCTCTCCTGCCCTACAATTACTCAAGAACACCAATCCTCTATCTCTTTAGGCAATGTGTGGCTCTTACTGAACTAAAGGAAAAATATTAAGAACAGCCTTTCCTATCTGTAGCAAAACACCTTGCAAAGACCACCATAATCATCTTTAGTTCTGTGAATAGAGGAACGCATAAAGTATGTCTTAAACAATAAGTCTTATGCCACAGCTTATAGGGACAGGAAGCATGAATTATCAATCTCTAAATTTCTTTCAACTCTAAAATGATATAATCCTATGACAGCCAGAGCTATACATGGAGTCAGTGAGAGAACTGGAACTGAAAATAAAACTAAAACCTAGGTCAGTTCCCTAACAAGTAGAATTGTCCTAGTAAACCACTTTTCTTTGAATCTCTGTCTGCATTCTGCAATTTGTTTTCAGATGAATTA